ACCGGGGCAAGGCAGATTCAAGTGAGGTGCTTGTGAAACGTCCATAGCAGATCTGAGTCGTCCAAGTTCCTCGATGGAGATCATGTATTGAAGCGGCCATTGTGCGTCATTCACAAACGAATCGCATGCCAGTGGCAGTGAAGCATTCAGAGTGAGGTCATCTCATGATCGTGTCATTCAAATAAAGAGTATGTGCACCATATAGGGGTATGTATGCGGGCAACTCCGACTAGGTATAAACTCTCCTCCAATCCGTCCTACTGCCCAAACAATAAGTCTACGGCCAGAAGTGAAGGCCATCCGGTAGCCAAGGCTCCAAAACGCTCTCCGATAGATATAACACCCATAGTAGTTGTTAAGATTTATAAAGTTCTCCAATCAGCCTATCCCCGTAGAATAAATGGTGGTATCGGTAGAATCGAATTAAGTAAAGGTGACAAAGGAGTTGATAAGTTTCGGTACTCATGTCATGTTGGATGAGTGTGGCGACGCGCCTAGTTGAGAGCGATGGCAGCAAGGCCGACAACAGCAGCCAGCAGACCGCTCTGGACGAAAAGACCGTTACCAGCGCTGGCGGGGGCGGAGGTGGTAGCGGGGGCGCCGGAGGAAGGAGCAACGCCAGAGTCGGCCGACGTCTTGATGGCAGTGACGGAAGACTTGGTGGTCCAGGGAGCAGTGGCGGTCGGGCCGTAGGTGGTAGAGTTGGAGGCAGCGTAGAAGCGGCTCGAGGAGGTGGAGGAGGAGGTAGAGGTGGTGGAGGGAACGACGACGCTGGTGGTCGAGTTGATGGTGGGCAGGATCGTCGTGGTCGGGGTGTACAGGGGGCAGGCAGTGTTTGTCGGGTTGCACTTGGTGATGGTGACGGTCTTGGTGGTGGTGGCGGTCATGGTAGTGGTGGTCTCGTCGGCGGAGGTCTGCGCGACGGCGACGGACGCGGCCATGAGGGCGAAGATGCTGGTGAAACGCATTTTGAATGATTTGGAGGATGAAGACGAAGAGTCGCTGATGATTCAAGTGCTGGTATAAGTCGATGTATGACCAAGAGTGATTCTCCACCGAATTGAGAGTTGTGCGTGCAGGCGTGGGCCGAAAGGAATGCGGTGTCAAGGAATTGACGTGACGATGCTGTCTTGTCGATAGATATGTTTGAAAAGAGAGTGATGTGCAAAAAAGGCACGATGACGAAGAGCAGATGTCAAGAGAGTGTGGGCACCGGACGCGATGGTAAAGAGAGCAACAACGGTGAGGAAGCAAAAACCGTGTAAGGCGTGTGGGAGGGGGCAGGCGAGGTATTTCTCCTTTTATCGAAGCGGCCTGTGGACGACGTGACCGCAGGTACTGGACGGCTACCACCCACCACCCACCACCAACACCACCACCCAGGGCAGGCTAGGGAACCACCCACTTCACCCCCATCCGCCATCTCCCATCCACGACAATAAGCACACGCACATAAGCGCGGACAGAGCATGGGCTGGCGGCGGAAAATTTGCCAGCGCTGGGTTGGGTCGACTTTGGATGGCGTGCCCACTGTCCACGTCCCTCTGGGTTGTCTGTGCCTGAGCCCAGCTGAGCCTGTGCCTATTGCCTGTGCCTGCACCTGCATCTGTGCCTGCGAGGTCCCGTTGGTCGCCTACGCGGCAGCTTGAGGGAGGATACCTAGGTCGGGTTCTAGGATGGATGGGCGGCCTGTGGGCGGAACGAGGATATGGGATGGGGGATGGGGGCCCTCTCTCGGCTTTGGCTTTTGCTTTTCTTGCCAATGAAAGCCAACGGTATGCTTGTCTTGCTTGGCGGTAGACCTGCCTTGTCCATGCCTTGGGGGAGACACCGACGGGCAGCAGATGCCAGAGACACTGAGTGAGAGAACCTAGGCAAGGCCAGGAGATGAGGCCTGAGGATGGTGCCTGTTGTGTGTGCTTGTGTCTGTCGGCGTCCCGGTGTCCAGGCCTAGAAAAAGCTGTGAAAGCCGGGCGACGGGCCACGGCACCTCAGGATCGTGTCCAAAAATGGGTCTGTGGCGCCGTGATTGGCTGCGCAAACCTTCTCGGTGGGACGGCTCTGAGCTGCGCTTATCGACCCTGGGCGGTGGCTGCACCTCCCACTGGTTCGTTTCTGGAGCGCCCCTGAGGATCGCCCCCGCCATCCCTGCTAGCACCCTGCAGGAACAGCAGCGCCCTTGTCGTCCGAAAACAACTCATCCGAACTCATTCGCTCGAGAGCAGAGACGCGCAGAGTCAGTCGAATCAAATCCTCTTTGCCGCCATTGCCAAGAGCCCAAGTCGATGCAGCGCTGCTGATTGCCTCTGTCTGGAGCCCTCCGGGACGTGTGCGCAAATGTGGCTGCTGTTGGGGGGCCGTCGCCGTTGTCGTGGGAAATGCGCCTGCCAATCATTGCCCGCACAATCATGGATTTACATTGTCTTCCACGTCGTTTCCATTCTTTTGGGTTGTCCCGGACCACACTGTAAAGTCGAAAAAGACAGTCCAACAGTCAAGCCATCGCTCTGCCCTCCCGCCATGGCGCCGATGCGGCTTGCTATCCGTCGACGGATGGAAAACTTTGCAGCCAAGAGGCGAAGCAGATGTTCTAGCCCGACATTAGCTGGTGCTGATGCCATCGTCCGGTCTAAACATTCTAATCTTGGATCCTGCTGCGTGCCGGGCAAAATCCAGACCACCCAGCAGAAAAAAAAAGAAAAAAAAAGGAAAACCTGAATCAACGCCAACAACGGTGCGGGAGGACAACAACAGAAACAACCCACCATCCGATGCGTCTTTCCCCCTCCCGCTCTCGTCTGTAATGACGACGCTGTGTGACGTACGATCCTTATCGTTTGGCCGGTTCAGGTCTTTCTCGTTCTGCTCGGTCATTTCGTGGTTCCACGGTGTGACCCCAGAAGCTCCAGGGTCCTAGCATTGAAACACCACTCAGGTTGCTCCTCGCACCGTCAATCTCACCACCATATCCCGGCGAACCAAAGTTCAAGACGTTGCTTCTACTATGTAGAGGGTTCCCTTGTCGGCGCAACTGTAAATCGGCGCGAGAAAATGACCCCAATCATGGGGGTCTCCACTGCCATTTCCCATCTGGAGGGGGCCTACGCAACACTCTGAGAGTTGACAGCGTATATTAGCCCTGGGGCCAGCAAAGTGAATCCTTTGTCAAACCCGATGCGGGTTTGCGAGCGTGGAGTGTTCTCTCGTCCGAGTGCTCTTCCGAGATGAGGCCAAGCTGCCACGATGGGGTCGGCGATTAGCTTTTGCATGGCTCGCAAAGATGATGACGATGTCGGTTAAGCCCCTCCGACTGCGTCTGTTGAATGCGATCGTCAATGAGCAATCCAAGTTTTCGCAATTCCTCTGCAGCAAACTGGGCCACTTGTGTTGTTGTGCAACAGTCGGTAGGAAACAGCTCTGGCAGACGTTTGTCTTTTCCGCGCCAGAGCGCAAAAGCCCCCTCTGAGTTCGTTCATTGCAACGTGAAACCATTGTCCATCGTTTCTGTCTTGGTTGTCACATCGCTCAAGTCCTCCATGTTGATTGCAACCGGCAGACACCTCTCGTGCATCCCGAAATTGAATGGGCGCACATTGCCAGGAGGCCCTTGCTGAACTTGTTTGGAGGGCATGTTGGTCTGCTTGCAATTGAGTTGATTTTCGACAGATGTTTCTATTGCAAACCTCTCTCTGACAACGAACGAGAACCACAGGCCAGAGCGCTCGGATATCGAGGCATGGCTAGTTGCGGTGATGTTGCCGCGTTGCCGCGCAGCGCTTGCCCGTCGCCGTGCTCATAGCCTGGTGCTAGCTCAGCACCAACGTCGCAGGCGACAGGCCACATTCCATGTCGGGGGCGATGTTTCGAATCCTGTGATGGGGGCCCAGAGTCGACATCGTACCATACGAGGTCTTCAGGTTTGTCATGGCAAGCCCTTGGCCAAAGAGTCAGGTGCTTGTCGGATATGAAGCACCTGTATTGGTGCTGTGGACCAGCGAACGGTTTGTCGGATCTGTGATTAGTGTCGATTGCTGCTGCGGATGACACGGGGCGTCCGATTTCCGAACAGCGATCTGTCATTTGCTGAGGAGATCTGTCCCGAAGGCATGGTGGTCTGTCTGCAGCTGGTCACATGTTGGTTGTCCAAATTTATCTCTTGGTTTGCAGTTCTCGTATCAACGGTGCCCAACACGGCGTCTTGATTGGCGAAGATTGAGTATGACTTGGATGCCCCCTCGGGACAAGACGAGAACGAGAATAACCGACGGCTGTCACCGCCATGCATTCGACATGATTGGCGTTTGCAGGTTCGTTGCGCCTGTTCGAAATGTTTTTCCAGAGAAAAGGGCGGTGTCGCGTGTCGTGCGAATGAGGCATCACCGCCAGTCGCCGTCGACACCGCCGACCACATCATCGCGCAGGAGCGGGTGATGCAGGTGCAAGGGCGAGTTGGGCGGTAGTAAGCGCGAGCCTATGCGAGTGCAGCTCTGCCAGCGCAGCCCAGCAGCCACTTGCTGCACTCATTGGGCAGGTGGCCTCTCTGCGTTGTTCCCTCTCGTCCCCTTCAGACGGGAAGTCCAGCCTGGGGCAGCACCTCTGTTCTCTCAGGTCGCTGAATGGAACGAACCAGTTACCCCGCCCCCGCATCTTACCCGCCGCTGACCTACCACGACCCTTTGAGTTTCATCTGCGTGGGACCTCCACCGACTAACTTCCAGCCTACGTACGCCTCACGTCGTCTGGAACGCAAACACATGTCATAATACAGAATCCCAAAGATATCCAAACCCGAGGTACGCACGCAATGCAAGATTCTTCCCCATCCCGTTGCAGATCCTCTCTTTCCAACGCCCATCCCCATGGTCCGGTGACATTTCCTTTGCTGACTGATCTGGCCCCCGAAGCTTCCCGGCAGCTGGCCCTCCCTCCCAGAAGCTCTTCCCTGCAACCACCCATCTTCCACCACAACCTCGACCCGCATCGAAAAAGAACACCGAATCATGGCAACCGCGACGACTTTCTCGACCGATCCAGCCCTCTGGATCTTCACCTCCCTGACCGCCGGCTCCTCTCACATTGTCACCGCGACCTCCCGTCTCGAGACGATCCTCCGCGCCAACCGTGTCCCCTTCAAGGCCATCGACATCGCGACCGATGAGAAGGCCCGTATGCTCTGGGGCCGCCGCGCCGGCAAAGATGCATCCGGCCGCGTGAGAAGACTTCCGGGCCTGATTCAAGAGGGCTTGGTGCTCGGCGTGGGTTACCCCTTTTTCTTCCATCCGCAGGAAATGAGCTAATCCGCTCCTCGAACCAGGACCTCACCGAAATCGAAGAGTGGAACGAGTACGGCGAATTGAAGCAGCATGTCAAGATCTACTACGACGAGTTCACCATCCCAAATATCCACAACAAGCCCAAGATTATCAAGAAGGTCATCAAGAAGAAGGTCCCAGCCGCCGGAGCAGAAGGCGAGCCATCCACCTCGGGCCCTGCACCCCCTGCACCCCCGGCCGCTCCACCCCTGCCAAAGAACGAGACCTACAACGCCGCTTCAAAGCCCGCTGCCGACCCGAAGCCTGCAGCAAGCGGCAGTTCGACCGCGCTCCCCGTGCGCTCCATCGCCGACGAAGCAGCCGCGAAGGCTAAGCAACTCCGCCTGCAATCGCTGCGCGAGAAGGTTCACGGCAAGAAGGACGAGAAGGCCGAAGAGAAGAAGGTCGAAGGCGCGAGCGCTGCTACCGCGTCAGCTGAGACTCCCGCCGAGCCCGAAAAGAAAGCAGAGACCCCAGCCGCCGACGCCACAGAAGATGCGCCCCGAAAAGCCTCCGTAGCCAGTACTGGCAGTGTTTCCTCGGCCGCCAAGGCAGGCCTCCAGTCTCCGACCACAGGATCCTGGGGCGCCTCAACCACCAACCCCGACGCCCTTCGCGAGACACTGCAATCACCGACAACGGCCCGGTGGAAGCCGTCGGACGTCGACAAGCCCGTCACGTCACACATGGGCGCCCAGGTGGCTTCCGCGTCGCAGGAGGCAATTGCAGCCGTTGAGAAGGCCGAGGCGATCAAGGAGGAGCCCGAGAAGGAGTCGTCATCTGAGGAATCATCCGAAGAGGAAGAGGCTACAAAGCCACCCATCGTGAAGGAGGTGTCGCAAGAGAAGATTGCCGAGGTGGAGAAGGCGCAAGTGATCAAGGAGGAGCCCGAGAAGGAGGAAGAGGAGGAAAGCGACGACGACAGCGATGAGAGTGAGGAAAGCGAGGAGGAGACAAAGAAGGTTGAGGCACCCAAAGAGGCGCCCAAGGAGGTGGCGAAGGAAGAAGCCAAGGAGGCGTCCAAGGAAGACGTCAAGGAGGCGCCTAAGGAAGAAGTTAAGGGAGCGCCTCAGGAAGCACCCAAGTCCGAGCCAAAGACTGAAGCAAAGGTTGAGCCAGAGGTTGAGCCAGAAGCTGAGCCAAAGGCAGAGGGAAAGGCAGAGGAGAAGGCGGAGACGACAGAGAAGTAAACATCACCGCCTTGCCGGCAAGGTTTGCAAAGCAAGATGTTCAATCACGCAGGAGGACATGATGTAAGAGTATGAGATGTTCGCAAACCCTCCCCAAAAGCCATTTTCCCGATGAATCGCTTTTGCTACATGAGATTAAGTCCTAGGTAGTGTAGTCCATCTCATCCAAATTCTGTCCTATATGCCAATCAAACCGTCTTCAATACAATCCCTCGTCATCACTAGCCGTGCCATCCTGGAACCCGGCCACAGCCTTACCCTTTCCCTTTCCCTTGCCGTTCACAACGACGTCCCCCTCGGATCCGTACTCATCATCGCTGCCCGTCGCGACAGCTTTCCCCTTACCCTTGCTCCCCCCGCCGGCGACGGCCTTGCCCTTGCCCTTGGAACTAGCCCTCGACACGATCGAGGACCCAGACACGGCTCTCAGACCTGCAGTTGCGGGCCGTTGTTGCTGCGGCTGCTGCTTATCCTTGTCAGGCGAGCCCTCGAACATGGCGCGGACCTGCTCGTAGTGAGACAGCTCGCCCGCGCTGACGGATGGCACGAGCTCGCGGTTGGCGGCGAGGAAGTCCTCCTCCGTGACCATGACGGCGATGTCCTCGGGCGTGGCGTGGTGGTCGAAGAAGTACGCCGTGGAGATGGGGCCCTGGTGGCGGCGCGTGGTGAGCGCTGCGGGGTCCGCGTTGATCTCGCGGATCTTTGCGTCGACGGAGGCGGCCTGGCGGGTGACGGCCTTGAGCATCGCGTCGGAGCAGAGGGCGTAGAAGTCGGCTCCGGTGTAGGTGAAGGGGAGCTGCTGGGCGACGGATTGCAGGGAGACGGACGGGTGGAGTGTGAATCTGGAGTTCGGTCAGCATGTTTTGTCACGAGGAAGATTGAGGAATCTACCCACTTTCTGGTAAGAGCTTCTAGAATCTTAAGCTGCTTGTCGTGAGTGTCAGACACTCCAAGGTAGAGCATCTTGTCGAAACGTCCGGGACGGAGTAGAGCGGGGTCCAAGAGGTCTGGTCTGTTCGTGGCACCAATGACGAAGACGCCGCCGCTGGTGTCGTCGCCTCCGGACATGCCGTCTAGCTCTGCCAGAAGCTGAGAGACGATACGGTCCATGACTCCACCACTGTCGCCCTGGTTTCCACGCTTCGGCGCCACTGAGTCCAACTCGTCGAAGAAGACAACGCAAGGCCTGGCGTCTCTGGCACGCTGGAACACGCGTCTGACGTTGGCTTCGGATTCACCAATGTACATGTTGAGCAGTTCTGGTCCCTTGACACTGAAAAAGTTGAGACTGTACTCCGTGGCGATAGCCTTTGCGAGCAACGTCTTTCCGGTACCGGGGGGTCCGTAGAAGAGAATACCGGAGCGCTTCTTCATGCCCTTGGCAAATAGCTCGGGTCGCTCGAGTGGCAGCTGGATCGTTTCCGTGACGGCATCCTTGACGTTGTTCAAGCCTCCGACGTCGTCCCATGTCACGTTGGGAATCTTCGGGGCACCGATGGCGCCAGCGAAGTTCTTGCGTGCGGCTTCAACAGCAACGTCAAAGTCGCCCTTGGTCACACATCGGGCCATCGGGCCGCCTGCAACTTGAAGATCGCGGACAGTGACGGTTTGTCCTGAAGTTCCCGCCTTGAGAGAAATTTGCTCCAGACGCAAGCGCTGTGCAATGAGCGCGCGGTCCACCACGTCAACGAGGTCCCCTGCTACCAGCGCAGCTGTCTTGAGAGCGATGCCATTGAGGTCGACTTCGGGATCGAGATTGATGCCGCGGTCTTCAACGATGGTCCTCAGAATACCTTCACGCTCCGCTTCATCAGGAGCACCCATCTCCAGCTCGTGGCTGAAAAGGCCGCGGACTCCGTCAGGCACCTTGTCAACATCGCTTGTCGTTGCGATGAGAACTCTTGTGTCCTGCAGGATTTCCTTCATAGTAGAGACCATGCGATCAGCCGTCAACGCCTCGACGTGCTTGATCAGCAACGCCGTGGTTTCTGGACCACAGCTCATCGCTCTCTCGGACCTTGTTCTCAAAAGTCCTTCCGTCTTGACATCACTGCCACTGGTTCCGGCTTCGCTCAGTATATCGTACGCGTCGATGGCATATGTGTGAAGTCCAATATCCGAGCAAGCTTCCGAAGCGACGGTTGCCTTGCCGATGTTGCGATGAGAAGACGTAAGAAGGATGGCTACCGGTGGCATCTTGAGATGGATTGCTCTGGGACTGGTGGCTGCAGCGAGAAGCTCTCTGAGACGCCGTCTCAAGGAAGAGATGTGACGTTGATCCTGTTCAGGTAACGTCAAGGCAGACGCGCTTGGTGACTTGGAAGGCAACTTCTTGACGCCCATATAGTACGGCCAAGTGCTGTTCTTGGTAGCGGGAATACGGCTGGTGGCGAAGCCGGAGCCATGCATCGCAACTGAAGAGCTGTCGATGCACGCAACTCCACCCCATAGATCGTCTGACTGGTCGTCTTCCGCCTCCGTTTTGGATATTTGGATATGGCCCACCTTGAACCAGGCTACTTGATCGACCCTTGAGGATCCATCCTTGGTAAGGGCCATAACATCATCCACTTCTGATCCATTGCTTCCGCTCGCCTGTTCTTGGAGGGCTTTTCCTAATTGCGTGTCGATAGGTACAGCAAGGAGGTCTCCTGTCCTAACGAGACGGAACTTTTGAGCAAAGTAGCGCTTCAGCCCACCCAACACTGCCGACTGGTATGCTCGCTCGGCAGTTACAGGGGACCGGACGTGTTGGATCGTAATATCGCGAGCGTACGGCGGTCGAGAAGCGCTCGTGAACTTGGGTAAAGTTCCCTTACCTTGGTAAGAACCGCGCTTAATGGGCGATAGTCTCAGGTACGGGGGGCCGTCAAGATTGGCCAGCAGAATTGGAGATATATAAGCTGCTGGGCTTGTCGGCTTTTGGAGCTGAGATTCGAAGAATGACAGTCTGCGTTCACCGTGTTTTGCGCTGGGTATCCGTGTTACGGGGCGTTGCGAGTATCCCTCAGGAAGACCATACACCCTCACAGGCCGCCAATTAGACTCAGTCGGCTCTAGTGACGTAAAGCTTCCGAGGCCAAATGCGCCAAATCCGTTGGCAGGTGGTTCCTCGGCGGCCTCTACGCGAACCCAGTCTCCTGAAAAACAGCCAATCTTGGACAGTGACGATATGTCTACGAAGATTCTGGCTTCGTCGTCATCCTCAGGGGCGGGCTTGGGGTGAAGAAGATCTACGGCGATGGGTCGAATCAAGCCCTGGGCCTTGAAAAGTCGTCCTCGGGGCCTGTCGGGACGAGCAGTCGTCGCGGTAAAGTTGGAGAATACAGATGCTGGCGTGGCAATTCCGTTGGTCTTTCTGCCTCTTCCAATTGTCATTGGAGTTCCAGGTTGCATCGTGGATACGCCGCTTGCTGTCGTAGGAAGCGTCGGGGCTTGTAAGGAAATCATATCGTCCATAGAGTCGTCAGACAAGTCGTCGTCTTGATCGATGCCAGAGAGCTCCGACTCTTCAGTTTCTGTAACCGAATCCAACTCTGTAGTCGCAGCATCTGTCTTGTACCGGTCTTCGGCAGCCGAGTAAAACTGATCGTTCGCTGTATCGTCTTCGTCGTCTTCGGGAACACCGTTCAGACTGCGGTTCCGGGGGATTGCCGTGGCGTGGCTACGTTTTGCATGTACCCGTCCCCGCATCAGAATGATTTTGGTGTTCTCAGACAGAATTCCCTGGCTCACAGGCTCGCATAGCATGATCTTTCCAGGATTCGGCGGAACGTGGGTGACTGGATGCGGAGGCAGCGGAAGGGGGAAGAGGTCGCCGGAATGAAGCACTGTCAGGCTGCCCAAGGCCACGCGCAAAGCGGCAATCAGACAGCCGTCTGAGGTTGCCGGTCCCTTTCCAGTAGGATGGCTTGGATGATCGCGGAAAAATGTTCCCTCGCCTTGCTCCAAGCGCTTCGTCAACTCGCTCTCGAGGCTCACAAATACCGTATCCAACGAAAGGGCGACCACGTCGAGTATCTGGATCTCGATGCCGCTGCGACTGTGACTCGAGAGCTTTGACGGTGCGACTTGTTGTAAGATCGTCGCAAAGTTCTGCAGCGACAGCGAAGAGGGAGAGAACTGGACAGTCGAGGGTTTCATGGTAGAGGACTTGGTCACAGGCACAACTGTCCAGGCGGTTTCGGTCGGGGAGGGGCTCGGTTCCCACGGAGCGATCGCAACATGATGAATATCTTCGGAGCCGTCTTCGCGGGAGGGGGCTGCATCCACAAGCAATTAGCCATTGCGCGCGGGTGATAGCGATCTAGAGAAGCGCGACCTACCATCACGGAGGTGGGGGAACAGGTCCGCAAAGAGGTCCTCGGACAGGATGCCGATGTCGCCCCTGACTTCATGGTCGTCGAGAATCAGTCTAGCAGATAGGGAGGGCTTGTCCTGTCTTCTTCTCCGTGTCCTTCTACTCCTCCTCGCCTGTGATGGCGGCACGAGCTCCGAGGTTGTCATGCTGGCGTTTCGGTAAACGGGCCGATGTGAAGCGAAGCAACAGACGATATCTCAAATACGCATCGCAGGAAGCACAAAAGAACGGCCCAGGCGTCGAGTGTTAACAAAAGGAGTGAATCGTCGCGGAGCAAAAGATCAATTGAAGCCGAAGGATATCAAAGGTCGCAGGACATGGTGTCCCGATGGCGATGGCCGCGTTGAAGAGCTAAGCTCAGGTCCCTGAGTCCAGTGTCGGCTTGGAGTCGGGGCCAACTCAAGCTTCGGCTGGGGGTGTCTTAGGCCTCGGCATTGGCGCAGGGCCAGCTGCAGCCGCACCTTTTCCCCAATCTCCTGGGGTTACCAGGAGGTGCTGCACCTCAGGAAGGCAGCAAAATCCGGCCTGAGCGGGGATAGCCGAATGACTAAGCATGTGTCCGGGGGAGCGTCGACGCCGAACAATCCCCGCGCAAACCAAACTTGACTCCATCGAGAGTCAGGTTCCTGTTGCTATTCAC